GACAAGTAATGATTCTATAGCATCTTACTATGCTGATGGACAGTGACTGTAATGGGGTTTGTGGGGGGGGACTTGATAATAGGGGGAGTCTAGTAACCATGTTGTTCATGTAATTATACATTAACAATATAAAAAAAATGCCACACAAATCTGAAAAAGAACCAGAGAGAAGTTGTAAAAATAAAAATATATCAATTAAAAACTTAATGGGTTATATAATCAACTGCCGATAGGTACAGGAATGTTGATTATTGCTTGATAAATTGTGTGTGTGTATATGTATTAATAATAAGCAGTGTTTCCAAAATATAGTATATTCCACATTTAAAAAACCGAAATGAAGAGATTAGGTGGCAACTAAACACAGCAAGAGAGAAAATTAGTTGAAGAACAAAAGAAATCACTCAAAATAGTGCACAGAAAGATAACAACAGAAAATACAAAGGTTAAGAGACATGAAGAAGATAATGAAGAAGTCTAACATATATTTAAATTGAACTTTCCAGAAGACTCTTTGTGTTGAGAATGATACCATCCTTCTCGGCCAATTGGTTTAAAACAAAGACTTTTTGACTTGTATCGTCCCTTTACTTCCTCTATTCAGTCAATCATCAAATGCTATAAACTGATTCTTCAAAAATACCTGTTTCATTCTTTCCTCTTGATCTCAATACTGCTACCTTACTCAAAGCTTTCAAAATAGCTACCATTGAATAATTCATATGTTCTAGGAACTGTGTCAACTGCTGCTTTAGAGTCTGTCTCATTTAATCCATAAGAGTACTATGAAATAAGTATCATTAACCCCATTTTCTAAATAAGGAAAGTGATCCTTTATTACTTTACAGAGATCACATGAATAAGTATTGGTAGAATCAAAATTTGAACACGCAAGCAGTCTGACTCCAGTAATAGCATCTTAAACCCTATAGCATACATCTTTGTTGCTTAGATTACAGAAAACACAGGTAGGCTGATCTAGGCTCTCTCCACTGTGATCCATCCTTCTTACAATTCTGCTTTCAACAAGTGAGTCCCTTATAAACAAAATCTCAATGATCTCTATTTTCTATTACTTTAAAGCCTAAGCCTCTATACCTTTCTCTTAAAATCCTGGCCATAAACCATAGAATTTTATATTCTTTCTCATATGGTCTAGCCACTCAAAATAAGGTCAATCTTGTCAATACTCTACAAAGATATCATGTTGAAGCATGATGAAAAACCCTTTCAGTTTTATTGTGTTTTGTCTCTTGAAGTTCAGTAATACTTAGAACTTGAGCTTTGCAGAATATCTTAACTATGAAATTAAGTTTCCTTCTCAAAAGCATGAAGAGGAGAATTAAGAGGCAGCAGAAAGGATATTTTCTCTAAGGGGAGTTTCTGAATGGAAAAGTAAAAAAAATAGGAAGATGTGGTCATAGCAATCAACTTTGCCTTACACAGCCTTTTGACTCCTGTTTATACTGATTTGATTTTAAAGAGGAACATCTTTTACCTGTAGTAATTGAGATGTAAGTAGATGAAATCTCCAACTGGTTTTGGGTTCCAAAGTGCACATTTTGATGGAGGAAAGTAGAAAGGTACCATCTTGCTTAAAGGAAACCTTTAAAAAAAGTTTTTTAATCAAAGCACAATGAAAAAGCAAACAGTAAAAATTTTATAAGCAACAGTTTAACTTCAAATGATGAGGCTTTTCAGATTACTGCTGTAATTTTCTATTAGAAGAGTTTAAAAATATTTTTTAAAAGTAAAGAAAAATCAATTTTAACTCTACTATCAAGAGAATAAGCACTTAAATTTTAAGTATGGCAATTTTGTCCTTTTTTTCCCTATGCACACATAAATTTGTATACACACAAGCTTTTTAAAAATAACTGGGAGTATTAATCCTATAAAACACTCTTTAACAGAAAAATAAGTATAAACCATGAATTTACATTTAAATTTAAAATTGAAATCTGTCCTTCTGAACTAATGCCTAGATAATTGCTAGGTAATACCTAATAAAATTATGAAAAACATAGAAGCTTAACAGTGTCTTTATTTTTCAGTGATTCCAAATTTGGTGTCTTGGGCCCTATCACCTAATTACTGAAGCACCAAAACAATATCCTTATAAGTAATTCCTCAGCAAAGATGCTAGGGCCAGTGTAAAGCAAGGTCTCAATGTTAAATCATATTGGGTACCATCACAAATTTTCTATTTTATATAAGTGAGTAACATAAGAAAACCACAGTAAGAAAAAGAGAATGAAAAGAAAAGACTGGGGAGAAAATATCAGCTAAAGTCACATGTATTAAAGCAAGAAAGCAGATGGTAGGCTATTAAATAGTTGTACGGAAAGAATATCACATCATGCACTGACAGCACCTTGTTCTAGATCTTACTTGGATGTATCACCTGATGAAGCTTCTCAACTAAAATACTAGCTGCTCCAGTTTTCTGATTACCTATGTACCAGGCATCCTACTGAGCACTTTACATATATTTCTCACTAAATTTGTTTCAGAAACATTTTATTATCCACTTTATAGATAACAAACTCTAATTTTCCTAACTTCATACAGCAATTAAGTAGCAGAGCTATGATTTGAATCTAAGTGTGGCTGATTTCAAAGCTTACACTTGTAGAAGCTGAATGGTGTAGTGCTACACATTAGGTTCAAATTCTGGCTTCACCACAATCCTAGCTGTGTGCTTTCAAATCCTTGTCTAATTTGAGCACATACTATCTATAAGAAGGTTTTTTTAACCTCCCTTTTTTGAAATGAGGACATAGTCTGAGATTAAGAAATTTGTTCAAGGTCACAAAGCTAGTAAATTTACCTGTTTGTGTATATAATATCTTTATCATTTAACAGTTGGTGAAAGGCAGTATGATATATGTGACTAAAAGCAAAAAGTCTGAAAATCAACTGCTTATGTCTGAAACCTGGCTTCAAAATGTACAGCTATATCACCTTGACCATGTTACTCAATGGCTCTGTGCCTCAGTTTCCTTATCTGTTAAAAGCAGGATTATCAGTACCTCCTAGCAGTTACACTGAATATCAAACAAGTCAATATATGTAAAATATTTAGAAAAATTCCTGGCTTATTCTAAGTGCTCAATTTCTATTTCTTTATGTTCTCAGTAGCCCATATTATCTTTAAAGCCTAATCTACACTACTTTAGGTTTACTTACTTGCAGCATATAATATTAAGTCATATCAGGTTTTAATCCTAGTTATATCACTTACCAAATGTATAACTGCGTTGGTTAAACCCTCTATGCTACAGTTTTTCTCATTTAAAAAGAAAAAGGGGGATAATAATAGTACCTACACTTTACAGCGTTGCTGTTGAGGATTATGTAGGAATAATGCATGCACAGTACTTAGAGTAGCACCTGGCACTCAGAAAGATTTCAATAAATGCTGTTATTAGTCTTTCTCTTTATCTAAAGTATGCAGGTAGACTTGAGGTGGCAGAAAAAACACAAAAGCCCTGAAACTGGGTACAAAATTTTGCATGTATGAATATAAATACTTTTTCTTAGGGAATGAGGTATCATGGCTGTCAGATATTCAAAGGTGTCTGTAACCCCAAAATAATTCAGAACTGCTGCCCTGATGCCCATAGATTACTGAAAAACAGAGGTTACTAAGTGAAAAACAAAAACAGAAAAAAACCACTAGAGTTGAATATACCAGGAATAATCAGTTTAAAACATGTGAAATACTACCTTACCTAGAATGTAAGGAATTAATTTGACTCAATAATAAAATAAAAAAAGAATGTGTTGACTTGTTGCACAAGTGCAACAAATTCTTTCGAAGAACATTAGTCGATAAATTTTCCAAGAATAAGAGGGGGCAGTAAGATAGAACAGAAGGCCAAAATTAAGCAAAAGGAATATGATAGCCTCTTTGGATCACGTTTCCCATTGTCTTCATCAAGAACATCTGGCACAAAGAAAAGCAATACAGAGAATAAAGGTAACTCACGGGTGCAATTCTAATTTAGAAGACAAAAATTTCACATGTCAGCATTAACTGTTCCTCCCCAGGGAAAAAAAAGAACAATAAATGATCCAAAGAGCCAAATAACACATCCCAATTTGCCTGGTCCCCATAGTAATAGAAGACTGAGAAAATAAGGAGATAGGAGGTGAGCTCCTCCTTCCTACTCCACAGGAGGAAAAGGCTTAGGGATATTTAAGGAAACTTGGTATAGCCAATGTAAAATTTTCCCAATCAAACCCTTTCCCAAAGGGTTTTAAAAAAAAGGAACACAAACCACTTTCCCATTTGTTTAGGATGTAAATAAATAAGTATGTGATTTTTAGCCTCAAAATTTCAGGTATTATTTCCCATGAAAAAATGGCCTTCCATCAAACTAAAAAAGGGAAGGAAGGAATGAAACTAGTATTTACCAAGTGCTTACCATATAAGCAGACTCTTTAATTTAGAAATTATTTAACCCTTCACAATAATCTTCTGATAGAGATTACTGTCCCCAATGTACAGATGAGGAAATTGAGGCTTAACAATTGATCAAGATTATGCACCTACTAAGTGGTAGAGCTCGGATATGGACCCAGATTTTCCTGATTAAAGATCTTTTTTTTCTATTCCAACCTACCTTCCCAAGTTATGTGAGCAGCTGTAAAAAAAACATTTTGTAAAACTATTTCTATACCTGGTATTCGTCTGGGGCCCTGCAAGAGAATATGTAGGCTCCATGATAGTTGGTGAATGATTTATTCAATTTCAAATGTTCAGTTTCCTAAATAAATAGATTATTACTAATGAGTGGTAAAAACAAAAAACAGGACATATGATTTAACCATACATTAACAAAATTACAGGCAAAATCAGGTCACTTGTATTAAATGTCTTTATTTATAGATTAATAAGATAAATGCTTGTGGATCCTGATATTTTCATACTTTATAGTCATTCTGCCTATAAATTAATGTTAGTATTTATTGTAGGCACCAAACCTACATTAAATCTATTCATTAAGGAAAGCACAGATTTCTGCCCCCAAGATCATTGTATCAACTTAGTGAGGTGGGTAGGGCAGGTAGTATTTAACATAGGAGATTTTGACCAAAAGTCTCATAATACTCAGAAAAGCACAAAACAGGAGAGAGGAACAATTTGGCCCAAATACTTTTCAGGTCTATAATGAAGTTAATGAATCTTCAATCTCATAGAGATGGAAGGCAAATACTGCATCCCCACAAACTGACTTGTATCACTGCAAAATCAGCAGTCTCTTTTTTGGCTCCACATGCCCTCTCTGGGTACGCTCATCCACTCCCACTGCTTCCATACCCTTCTGGATAGACTACGTTCAGCTTCCACTTCTTTTGCAGTTTCAAACCCATATTTGTAATTGTCTACTGCATATCTCCATCTAAATATTATCAAAGCAAAATACAAAGCTTGAAGTCCTTTCTTTACAGTTCAATATTTCCTATATTCTTTTATTATGTCTTAAGAGTTCTTTAGGCCTACAGCCTATTTCAGTTCTAGCAAAAAAGAATTGTTTGAAGCAAGATAAAGAAGGAAGGAGTTATTAATACAGATGAAGAAGTCATTTAGAAGAAAGTCAGAGGCTGAAAATATTTTTAAGAACAAAATTCTACTGAAAGTGCCCTTGTAAGGTTCACTAAAATGTCCCTCTTGGAGATATCTGGTCCTCATGCAGCATCTACGGAAATTGGGCTTTAAACTCTAAAGACCTTCTTGTGCCACTTGGTCATCATGGATTATCAATATTCAGATTGGTAGCTGTACTCTAGAAAGTATATGAAGTGTCATTTTTCTACATTAAACAGAAGAGTCTTAAAACTCTGTGCCTGTCTCTTCTTCCTTCATGCATTAAGCTAAAAAGATAATGTTGATCTATTGCTTATTTTAAAACAATACACATAAGGCAGTTTATTCTGACAATATCACAGAAACAATTAAAGCTAATGAAACTAAAACCACACAATGCCTACACCTAGCAAAACATATTCTCTTCGGATAATAGTATCATTGTGTATCAAAGTCATCCTTAACCTCTCCTTCCTCTCTCTTTTTCTACATAAATTCTCTTCCCGACTCCACTACCTTTGTCCGACTTCATCAATTCTCCCTGGATTTACTTTAAAGTCCCAACAGTGCTGCTAGAAGGGTACTTCTATGTAAATCAGATCAAATCATTTCCCTGCCTAAAAAGTTGATGGCTTTTCTTTATATACAGAATAAAGGACCCTCACGATCTGGCCCCACCCTCTCATTCCACCCTTACCTCGTGTCCCCTCTTCCTACATCCCTAGCAACCGAACTCTCCGAAGTTCGCCGAGCTGGAGTATCTCTGCACAGGCTTTTCCCTTTACTCCGAATGCCCTGGTAAATCTTCATCACCCTTCACAATTCAACTCGAATGTCATTTCCTCTATGAAACCATCTCCTAGACACAGCGATGTTACTATCGCCGGCAAAAAGCGATTTCACACTGGTGTTTATACATTACTTACAGTATACCCTGAACTTCAAACATTTAACTGATTTCATACTAGGTAATTGAACTAGACAAAGTGAGGAATACAAGAATGAGCATATAGGGCTTCAGTCCTCTAGAAGCTTTCAGAGAAAAAGCAACCTTAAATGGCACGTTATCGAGCTGTAAATCTTTCACATACCTAAGTACAAACGATTCCCAAGGAATTCGTGGGCCTCTTAATTTATTTCTCCCATTAGTTGCCTTTTACTTCATCGGCCGCAGACTCCCGGAGGGCGGAGCCCACCATAGGGCCCTGAAAGTTGCCCACCGTCCTTCCCCGGGTTCCGCTGCCGTTCCTCCGAGGAATCCCAGGCACAAAACTCCACTCACGGCAGCCTCCGCCAAGCCTGAGTCTGTTGGGCTAGAACAGACGTGGGCTCCATGGAGCTTCTCCGCGACTCCGCCCCGCCTCTGGGACGTTGGGGTCGCGGGAACCCAGGCGGCAAACACAGGTTCGCGAAAACAAAGCCCGCGCCGGGCCTGCTGACTGGCTAGAAACCCGACCCATCAGGGAGCGGGGGCGGTGCCGGAGGGGACACGCACAGTCGTCGAGACGTAATGGCGCGTCAGCCAATCAGCACTAGGCACCGGTCCAGCGCTCGACCAATTCCAAACCTCCTTGGAGAAAGGAGGGCGCCACCGAGGCTCCAGGATCAGGATCCGGAGGATTTAAATACTTCATTTTAGTCAACGGTTAAGTTCCGGGGTGGGGAGGGCCGTGCACATGCGCAATGAAAAGCCCGGCCGGCATATGTGAGGATGGCTGAGGAAGTCGGAAGTGGTTGATTCTCTGATTGTGCCTGTGCTGTTAGAAGCCGACCAACTTTTTTTCTTCAATATACAAAAGAGAAAGAAAGTTAGATTTTTTTCCCGGTTGCTTTCCTACTAAGAATTATTCCTCTCAATAACATAATTTTAAAGTTTCTTCCTGTTAAGCAGAAGCGTGAGTTGAATTTATCATCCATTTATAGTTATTTCCACAGTTGTTGGCATTATGTATGGTTTTGGTATTATATGTATTTGGCATATGGTATTAATATTGATTGGTGTGATAAATTATAGTTCTCTGCAACTAATGGTAATTGGGCCTTCTCTGCCATACTTCATGATTGCCCTGACACCCAAAGTAGGTATTACTATCCCTCTTCAACAAGGGAGGAACATAAAAATCACACAGCTAGATAGTGCAGAATTTGAACTTGAAATGCCACTTAATTTCTTGTAGAATTCGCTTTTGTTAATTTCCTGAGCAAATAGGAATTTCTTGAAGTCTGAGCTGAATTTGTGGGCTGTCTTGTTATGAATTTACGAATAAGCATTCACTCTTGAGAGAAAACACTATCCTGAAAACTGTATCAAACCAAGAAATACATGCTCCTTAGAGTATCATTCTCTGCTTTTCCTGGAAAAATTCCTAGAATCGGGCACACTTATTAAGGGAAATGATGGTAAATTCCTCAGCTTTGGTGTGAAAGCATGAAGAGACTCAGACAAGGGTACATGTCCAAAAAAGTGCTGGCTAACTGTAGGGAGCTCTGGAGCAAAGATTGCTCATTAGGGAAGACATTAGGTTAGAACCCTTGCTGTCAATCATTGCCTGGGGCTTCCTGGAAGAGCAAGTACCAAAACTAAGGCAGATCCGGAAAGCCACAGCAAGGGCCTGTCAGCCAAGTGTACACTTTGCAGCCAATTTTTCTTTCTTATAGAGATCCAAGTGACATGCCTTGATGGCTGCCATACCTTATATTAAGTTCAAAAGTCCTGGGGTGGGAGATTCCCTGTATCTTCAAAGAAGAACAAGGATGCCAGTATGTCCTGAGCAGAGAGTGAATGAGGAGAATATTGAGAGTTGAAGGGAGAGGCAGTGTTGGTAGACTACATAGGGCCTTATAGGCCATGATAAGGACCTGGTTGCATTTTTCAGTTAGATAAGAAATCACTGAAGATCTTAAATAGGAGACTGAGATGATCTGTTAGGTCTTAAAAGGACCACTGCAGTTGTTCCATTGTGAATAAACTGCAGTGGGCAAGGGCAGAAGCAAGGAGATCAGTTAGAAGGTTGCTGCAGTAACCGAGGAGAGAGATTGAAGGCAGCTTGAATTGGGATGGTGGCACTGGAGGTGGTGAGGGGTTGTTGGATTCTGGTTATGTTTTGAAGGTAGAATCAACAGGATCTGATAACAGATTGAATTTAGGATGTCAAAGAAAGAGACCTTGTATGGGCCCCTCATGATTTATGGTTTTTATTAGTCCTACCTTAAGATATCTGAAAGGGAGATTTAAGATGGTATGAGTTAGGACAAGCATAATACATAACTCCCTACTCCTTACATGTGGGATAGGCATAGTGACATCCTTACAAAGAGTGTAGGATGAAAAGTAGTGGGGGAAAGAGTAACTCAGCAGTGGAGAAATCTGACCAACATTACTTAAGCCAGGTGATCAAGGCAAACATTGTCATAAATCATGTTGAATTGCTATCTAACAGCATACACAAAAGAAAATTCAAAGTGGATTAAAGACAAATATAAGACATGAAGCCATAATACTCTTAAAAGAAAACATCTCTTGAACATAAGCATGAGTAATTTTTTTCTGGACACATCTCCCCAGGCAAGGGAAACAAAGGCAAAAATAAACAAGTGGGGCTAATCAAACTAAAAAGCTTCTGTACAGCAAAGGATACCATCAACAAAACAAAAAGGCAACCTATAGTGTGGGAGAATATATTCATAAATGATATATCCAATAAGGGATTAATATCCAACATATATAAAGAACTCATATGACTCAAAAAAAAAACCCCAGTTAAAATATGGATGGAGGAAGACAAGTAGTGACTCTATAGCATCTTACTATGCTGATGGACAGTGACTGTAATAGGGTATGTGGTGGGGACTTGATAATGGGGGAATCTAGTAACCACAATGTTGCTCATGTGATTGTATATTCATGATACCAAAAAAAAAATGGATGAAGGACCCAAACAGACATTTTCCCAAAGAAAAACAGATGGCCAACAGACACATGAAAAATCCTCCACATCACTAATCATCAGGAAAATGCAAATCAAAATCACAATGAGATATCACCTTACACTAGTTAGAATGGCCACTATCCAAGAGACAAGAAATAACAACTGTTGGTGAGGATGTGAAGAAAAGGGGACCCTCCTACACTGTTGGTGGGAATGTAAATTGGTGCAATATGGGTAGCAATATGGAGGTTCCTAAAAAAACTAAAAATAGAAATACCATTCAACCCAGTAATCCCTCTTTTAGGCATTTACCTGAAGAGCACAAAATCCAAAAAGATATATACACTCTTAGGCTTATTGCCACATTATTTACAATAGCCAAAATATGGAAGCAACCAAAGTGTCCATCAATAGATGAATGGATAAAGATATGGTACATATGAACAATGAAATATTATTCAGCCGTAAAAAAGAAAGCAATCCTGCCATTTGGGACAACATGGATGGACCTAGAGGTTATTATGCTAAGTGAAATAAGCCAGGTAGAGAAAGATAAATACCGTGTGATTTCACTTATACATGGAATCTAAAAACAAAACAAAACAAAATGAACAAAACAGCAGTAGACTCACAGAAACTGAGAAGTGACTGGTGGTTACCATGGGGGAAATGTTGGGTGTGTAGGTGACATTGGTGAAGGGGATAAAAAGGCACAAAATCTCAATCATAATATAAATTATTATGGGGGTGAAAGGACAGCATAGAGAATATAGTCAATAGTTCTGTAACATCTTATTATGTTGACAGGTAGTAACTGGACTAGTTGGGGTGAGGATTTAATAATTACTTTTGAATTAGTATGTTGTATACTTGAAACCAATATAATATTGTATATTATCTATACTTCAATAAAAATATCATGCTGATAGTATGTATACTATCATGTACTTGATATGTTGTGATAAAAGTGGCACTTTACCTTTGTGGTCTTCCTTCCAACAATCTATAACTCCAGTCTTATCCTGGGAAATATGTTAGACAAATTCCAATAGTGGGGAATCCTATAAAATACATGAAATAATCCTAACATACTCCTCAAAATTCTTAAAGTTATCAAAACAAGAAAATTAGCCAAGAGGAAGCTAAAGAGATATGAAAACTAAATATAACGTGGTATCATGGATGGGATCATCAAACAGAAAAATAGCACTAGATTAAAAACTAAGGAAATCCATCAATATAAAAACAAAGCAAAACAGAAGGAACAAAACAGCAGTAGACTCAGACACTGAGAAGTGGTTACCGGAGGGGTTGGGACGGGTGCAGCGGGAGAGCTGGTGGAGGATAGGGAATGTTGAACCACTGTGATGCACATTTGAATCCAACATAAGATTGTATATTAATGACACTTAAAAAAAACTAAGGAAATCCAAATAAACTATGGACTTGAATTAGTAATGATGTACCAATGTTGTTTGTTAATTGTAACAAATGTACCATACTAAAATAATAGGGGAAGCTGGGTGGAGCATATATTGGAACTCTGTACTATCCTCTCAATTTTTCTGTAAATCTAAAGCTGTTTTAAAAAATAAAGTCTGTTAAAAAGATAAAAGGAAGGGGCAAGGGGAGAGTAGAAGCATATGCTAATTTCTTGAGCAAAAACTGTAAAATTGTCTTTGTAGGTTAATAATAACACAAATACCAATAAGACTTCAACTAAACAATTTATTACCACTAGACTTACACACAGGATATACATTTAATGCTATGCATAGAATAGATACTTTCTGAGTTGAATGAAGAGAAAAACAACTATTGATGTCTTCATTTTGGGATTGGAATAACTCAGTCGCATATTTAGGACAGCTTGGAGGTGCCTAAGGGGTCTGTTTTCTTAGATATTAAATTTTTCTTTTGAATTAAGCCATAACTACCAAGAATTGGGCATAGGAGATTTGGCCCCAATTCTGCCATTAAACTCTCTAAGATTAATTTTTATCATTTACATATTGTACATTATCATACAAAGTTAATGTATAATGAGTGTGAAAGTTAATTAAAAAGCTGCCCATATATTATTATCAGTCCATGTGTACTGACAATTGACAGTGTTAATAAATGAGCAACACATTGCCATACTTTCACAGAGATTAAGGGAATTAATTTGTTAGATTAGAGAATAACTTTAGTGAAATAAAATCTACCAAGTACCTACTACACCCTCAGCTTTATGCTAAATGGCATGGAGAATTGGAAGGACATGACAAGCATAAAACAAGGAATGCACATTTTTGTAGGCGGAGTAATAAGATGCAATTATCGAAAGTAAATATGAATTGTTATATTGCAGGCCAATTTAAATAGAGTGAATATACTATGCTTTTCTTTGATCCTTGTTTATATATATATTGATGTCATTTCAGGACACTATGGAAATGTTATGGCTATTGGCCCTACAGAGAAAAGCTACCAGTCTTATTTTTCAAATTTACAAGTGCTTTAAT